GCTATGAAACTAACGGAATAAGAAAAGACTTGAAAGACTTGAATGGAAACTGAAAGGCAGCTGGTAAAATTTGCATATGTATCGTTTGATAAACTAATTGTACGCGATAGGGTATCAAAGAAACCGTGCCAAGAAGGTAAGAGTTACTTTTTATTGTTTTATTTGCAATTTTGTGATTATATAAAAGTTTATTTTCTATTTTTATTTTCTATTATTATTATTTATTTATTTAAAAAAAAAAAAGCAATTAATCTAAAAAAATGGAGGAAAACCTAATAAGTAAATTTTTTTGCGAATAATATTATTCTCAGGGACGAGAATGACTTAGATACTTTTAATCAACAAATATTTGAAAGTCAATACAGCTTTCTTTCTACAAAAAAAAGAAACTTTTTTTAAATTTTAAACATTAATATTCGAAATTTAAAAAAAATTTAAAAGTTTTTGTTGGATAAATTAAAACATGACTTTAAAATTATTTGTCTTACGGAAACTTGGGGTAAGTGTGGTAAATGCGCAATTTGAACTAATTAATTAAAAATCAGTTCACCAACCACGTAATTTTGTGGGGGCGTAAGTATTTGTGGGGGCGTAAGTATTTGTGGGGGCGTAAGTATTTTTATCGACAACTTAATTAATTATAGTTTAAGTAACGATCTTTAGGTGAATGAAATTGTGAGTTATTATGAATTGAATAAATAAATAAAGACACAATAAACTATATTATTTAATTATAAACGCAGCATATAGATCATCATCAGGTAATTTAAAACGTTGATTGGAATCTGGTATTGCAATCAAACGATGCTAACAACACAATACTTACGATCTATTTCTAAGTTAATTCTGAAAGCAATATGATACAACGTTTCCTGAAAAAAAAAGGATTGTGAACACAAAAAAAGTTATGACTCCATGAATGTCTAATGGGTTACTAAGATCCTCAAAAAGAAAAAAAAAATTATATGATAAATATAAAAAAAAAAACTTATAAAAACGAAGTGACATATAAAAAACTATAAAAATATATTCGAAGAAACAAAAAGAAACTCTAAAAAGCTTTATTATGCAAACTGTTAGACAAAGCAAGCTGAAACACCAAAAAAGCTTTTAGACAAAGCGGAAACACCAAAAAAACTTGAATGTAATTAAAGAAGTAGTTGGTAAAAATAATTATGCGAGAAACACTTTGCCAAAAAAATAAAAATTAATGAAAAAAAATATTTATGATAAATCAATTATTGGTGAAAAAAAAAACATTTTTTTATTAATGCTGGACCAAATTTAGCATCAAAATTTCCTTTGAAATCAACTTCATTTGAATCTTATTTAAAAAATTACGATAAAGTTATGGATGAACCAAATCTTAAATTAATTGAGTTGCGAACCGCCTTTTTTAATCTTAAAACTAACAAAAGTGTTGTATTTGATCAAATTAACGCTATTATCGTAAAATCTGTTTATGATATAATCGTTCCTCTTTTGTTTAACACCTTTAATCTTTCTTTTAAAGCTGGTACTGTCACGGAAAAATTAAAAATTGCACGAATCATACCAGTTTTTAAGACTGGCGATGACTCTATTATTTCTAATTTTAGACCTAATATATATAACCTTTTTTTTCCAAAATTGCTTGAAAGAATAATGTACAACCGGCTATTTAATCAATTATCAGAAAGCGATATATTGTATTCAAAACAGTTTGGTTTCAAAAAAAAATGTTCCACCCCAGCTAGCACACTTACATTGGGCCAACGTATGTAAAACCATCGCGAACGTCGGCTCTTTTTTCCAATGCAAAATCAACGTTGATCCAATGTCATTTGGTTAATGATAAAATTATTACCGACGGAACTAAAAACATCTGGCAAATTTATATTGGTCCAATGTATGTAAAAGCATCACAAAAAGTTGATTGTTTTTACGATCTAAACTCAATGTTGATCCAATGTATATATCTTGACATTGATTCAATGTATATAAATCAACATTTTTTCCAATGTATGTAAAAGTATCGCAAAAAGTTGACTGTTTTTACGATCTAAACCCAAATTTGATCTAATGTATTTATTTCGACTTAGATTCAATGTATATAAATCAACATTGATCTAATATATGTAAATACATCGCAAAAGGTTGATTGTTTTTACGAACTAAACCCAACGTTGATCCAATGTATGCGCCCAAACATTGCTATTACGAAATTGTATAACTTAAATAAAATCTTCCGTGATAATTAAAATATTAAACCACAATCAACACAAACATGATTTTTATTCCGATGATCAAGTATTTTCATATTGACTGTATATAGTTAGGCATTTAAAAATATATAAATATATATATTATATCTATATAAATATATATATATTATATCTATATAAATATATATATATTATATCTATATAAATATATATTGTATATATATATACAAAAAAATAGAATTTAATGAAAATTTAATTCCGAGTAATATCGTATACAATGTTTTGCCAATTAAAGTTCAACGTAAATACAACGTTGTGCCAACTTAAAATACAACATTGGGCTAACGTATAAAATAAAACGATGAATCAACGTAGGAAATATAACCATTTTCGACTTTAAATAAACGTTTTATCAACATTGGTTTTAAGTTGTTAGCGACGTCGCATTTGTAACCATAATGATGTAAAAACAACGTTGGCAGCCGATGTTGGGCCAACGAAACGCGCTACATTGTTCTATTGTTTTAACAACGTATGTGTGCTAGCTGGGACTGAACATGCTGTGGTTGAAATAGTCATTCAAATAACAAACCAATTATCTACTAACTACTTTTAATTGATCTGTCAAATATATCAAATCAAAGGTTCTATAAAAGGCTTTTGTAACTGTAAACCATAATATATTAATAAAAAAAACTTGAATATTATGGAGTAAATATAGTTACTTAAATACTTATTTTTCGTTCTTAATTTAAATATTACTTTTTTACAAACTGTTATATATTTTATTTTTATACTTTTCAATAAATAATTTGTATTGTATAAGTATATACTACGACTCTTGTAAATACGTGCTCTTAAATTTATTTATTTTTTGTTTTTGTTTTTTACTTTTCTTTCGATTTTTCTTGTTTACTTGATTATTGCTCTTAACATGAATATTTTTCTTGAAGTATTTCTTAAACTAATTGTTGTTTATTTTACATTTATAGTTTTCAATAAATAATTTGTAACGTCATAGGCGCCAGAGTTTTGCAAATTTACAAAATCCATGGTGAATTTTCTTTTATGTTTTTTTTTTTTTAATAACCACGTGGTTCCACAGCTCTTGTTGCTATGTTTACTTTATCTTTGTACTATTAACGTCATAAATATTATTTGGTGAACTCAAATTTATCTACCGTTCAAGTGATTTTAGGAGAGATTCGTTTCAAATTTTTTAAATATCAAAACTTACGTTTTAAATTTCCAATTATTCGTGTTTTCGCTTATTTTTATGAGATTATTCTCACTGCGAAAAAATTAATTATATCGACAAATACCTTAATCTCACTTTTGCTGGATTATGCTGTTATCCGATCAACCTTTTGTTTTGGAGAGAAAAATTACACTTTAAAACCTTTTTATGATAGTGAAAACACTGGTTGCGACAGTCCTCATTGTGCTGCTTTTTATAAACCAAATAAATAAAATTTAGCAGTTAATTAGAAATTATTTTTACTGCCATAAATGAAAAAATTGTTTATTTTATGTTGAAAATTTGATAAATCTTCAGTTAAGCAACGTAAAATTATTCATTTGCTTTATTGCGTTTGTTACAAATACGTCTGAACATAGATTGATATGTGGCGCACTCTTCTACAAAAAAACAAAACAAAAAAAACCGCTCATTTGAGGGTCAGGGTTAAGGTTTAGGATTAATTTTCAAATTAAAATAAGCTGACCAACTTGCCACCTGATATGATTTTGATACTTACAATCTACGGCAGATTTCTTCGGTTTAAAAAGAAGAACATTAATGTATATATTGTTTCTTACTGAAAATCAAATAAGTGTAAAGACAAGAATGCCATTGAATATGATATGAGTAAGTATTAGATATTTTTAGACATCCAATGTTGAGAGTTTTTTTTATCGTGAATATGGCGGAGTTCTGAATTCTACCCGGATTTTTTAGTTTTTGCATCCGGATCTGAATCAATTTTTACTTATAAATGAAAAACTTGTTTTAGATTTAAGGAATTTTTATTAACCTTTATACAACAACAACATGTTTAAAGCAGGGCTGTGGAGTCGGAGTCAAAGTTGCAGAGTTGCGAAATTTTTAGCGGAGTTGGAGTCGCTGAACAAAATCGCGACTCCGACTCCAACAGTAAAACTTCTCGATATTGCACGTACATGTACAAAACATTCAATTAACCTTATTTTCATACTAAACCTCAAAGAACGTTTCATAAATTTGTCAAAATTTTTTTTTTTATCTTATCGCGTAATATTTTTTTAAGAATTCAAAGAATTTTTCAAAAATTTTGTTTCGGAATTGGAGTTAGAGTCGGAGTTGTGCTCAAAAAATTTCAACAACTGGAGTCGGAGTTGTACTCAAACAATTTCAACAACTAGAGTCGGAGTCGCTACTTTTTTTAAACGACTCCACACCCCTGGTTTAAAATGAATACTTTTTGGAATACTTTTATAAACGATAAAGCATTGCATAAAGATGCAATTTTTCAAAGCTGTTTATCTCAGTTCGAGTTTATTGGTTTTCAAAACACAGTTTCTTGAGTTAGCAGTGTTCATTTGATCTGAAATTTTCAGTACTTACTCGAAATACATATAATTAATTTAAGAGATGAATTTTCATGATCAGTAATTTTTTTTTTTTTGAGTCAGACCTCTCTAAAACATCAGACCTCTCTAAAACATCAAAAAATAATAAAATATGAGGAATATCTAAATTCATTTTTTTAAAATTTTATTTATATAAATGAATTTAACTTCGAAAAAAAAACACAATAATAAGTGTTTAACTACATTTAACTTTGTGTATTTGAAGAGACACATCGTTTGAATAAATTACGAGGTATTTTTAAAATACTCGCTTCAGTTGTCAACTAAGTAGTAAAAAATTACATTATTTTAATCAAAAAACTTTCGTGTTGAACTCTTTCCAAAAAGCGTTTCACGAATTTCCGGCAGCATCTAAACAAAACAAAAAAGTGGCTAAATATTTTAAATACAAAAATAATTTTTTATAAAAATTAATTGCTTGACATGATTTATAAAACAAAACCTGACGAACCTGTCTGCTCAAAAGTTCTAGGCGACTCTCTAAAGTGTTTGTGACCTTAATACGGCCTTCTTTGGCAAGTAGCTCCAGCCCACCAGCACTGAATTACAAAGAAAAAAAAAAACTTTAAATAATGGTGTATAAGTTTTCGGTGATTGAACAGTAATTTTATGAAAAGTATATAAGTATTTCTAATAGCTTTTACCATTAAGATTTCAGGATAGAAAATAAAGAGTAACTTTATATAATTTACACGAGCTCTGATGAAGTGTCTATACCGAATTAATAAAAGGATTGATTAATAAAAAGATTGATTAACAAAAGTGAAGTAGCAATAAGATTTAATTGAATGTGAGGGGTCTAGAGCAATTATTTCTTTAATTCTGAGATTGGGCATAATTTATAAAACAATGCTTTAGACCATCAAGATGTTTTACTGAGGTAAAAATTCGTCATTTACTTCACTAGCAAATTGTGCAATAAATATGATCTTGTACAATACCATATAATCTTAAACAATATTATTGTTAAAGTAGAAAAAATATTGAAAGTGTAACAGTACCTGAAGATGATAGTAGTGATTCTTTTAAGAGTCTTTCTGACAAATTTATTTAAAGATGATAGTGGGGATACTCTTTTAAGAGCCTTGCTGACAAATTTATTTAAAGATGATAGTAGCGATACTCTTTTAAGAGTCTTTCTGACAAATTAGGCAAAGATTAGGCGAAAGAAATAAAAAATGTAATGAAAGATTTTGAATATAAATTTGTATGAATGTTTGTGCTGAAATAACTTTCATACAACACAGACACAACATTCATATAACACAGATATTCCATTTATTCAACACAGGCACAACATTCATACAACACAGGCACAACATTCATACAACACAGGCACAACATTCATACAACACAGGCACTACATTCATACAACACAGACACAACATTCATACAACACAGGCACAACATTCATACAACACAGGCACTACATTCATACAACACAGACACAACATTCATACAACACAGGCACAAACAATAACAACAACAACAACAACAACAAGCTATTTATTTTCCGTAAATCGTTTTACAATAGTTTTGATAATAATGATAATAATAATAATAGTAATAATAGCAAAAATATATAATAATACATAAGATAAAAAATATAATTATACAAATTATAGTAATAGTAATAATAAGTATGCCTACAATAATTACAATGAAAAAACAATAATAATAACTAATATTAATATAATAATAAGTTAATGATTTATTAGGATAGTGTCACTCATACAGAAATCTGATCAAAGGAGTGACACCAATTTTTAATATAATATAAGTAATAATAAGCAAAGACACACACTGAAACACATGGACCGTAAACACACAAACCAAAGCACATAAAATATACATCAAAACAAACATGTAGAAATCAATTTGCAGGTTTTACTAATAAAAAAAAATAAAAAAAGTGCTGATGATAATTGTAATAATTACGAAAAGAAAACTAAAACAATATTTAAATCATAGGGATAATAATGCCAAAAAGTTAGAATAAAATGTTTTTTAGAATTTTTTAAAATTGATATTGTTTAAGATCAGGGCGCGTCTAATTTAAGAGGTATGTCAAATATCCACCCCCCTCCCCCCTCCACACATACCCACTTTTTTTTAAATTTTTTTATATTTTTTTTTATTTAAGAGAAATTCAAGATATAGAGGACTTTTTTCATTAATAGATGGTTGCGCACCTCCACTTCGAAACAGTGTGTCGGCCAGAATAAGTCATTTTCAATTTAACTTCTTTAATTTTTTTTTTTTTTTTAATTTAAATAATTTTTATATTTAATTATAAGGAAGTTTTATTTTCAAATAAATTTTATTCTAGTTAATAAGATATATAATAATTAGATATATTAAAGATACTTATCGAATTTTATCGATTTTTTATTAATTTAAAACAATTTTTCACGCATTTGCAAAGTGTGCGCAAATAATATGCAATAACCTTTTCACTGTAAACTGTTATCTATTAATACAAAATAGTGAATTTTTCTCAATTTAGTTTGTTAAATTATAAAAAAAAGATAAAATTTAAATAAAAGAGAACTATATAAAAATAAAATAAAAGTTATTTTGTCATTTTTATTTTTTAAATATTTAAAAGTAATAATATAGTATTAAGGATTTAGTAAGTTATTAAATTTATAATTTAATAAGTTACTATTAAATACCTGATATGCTATTATTATATTTATAATATTAAGTATTTAATAAAAAAATATCATATTATTGGTTGTTGTTAAACGCACAGTAAAAAATGAAAACTATAATTCAACATAATAGTTCTATAAAATATATTAAATTTTATATATTTCTGCAAACTTTTTTTAAAACTTTAAAAACAGCAAATAAACATTAATTTAATGATAATAAGAAAATTTTAAAAAAGCACGCCTTTGGAAAAAGAATGTTTTAGCATGGTTCCGTTTAAAGTAATTGCAAATGCATTCATTTTTAGTTAAATTTGCCATTCTTTTGTAAACGCATGTAAAAACCATGCTAAATATAATTTTTTCTCCAGTTGCATACTTGAAAGAAACGCTATTGAAGAAAGTATTAGAGCGGTTTCTTTTAATGTCATTGAAACTGCGTTTTAAATTTTAGTAACTTATTTTTTTTATATTAATTATGTTTTTTTTTATAATAAATAAAAACTATCAATCGCATAATTATTTGGAAATAAAAAATTGCTGAAGATATGCGTTCGTTTTTAAAAATTTAAGCGAACGCCAACATTTGCTTAAGTAAAAGTAAGGAAACGTGACGTTCGTTTTTCTGTCTTTTTTTTAACAAACGTTCGCACGTTCGTCGATTTGTCGCGCTCTGAAGATATAAAGTAAAGGTATTTTAGGATATATTTTTTTAAGCAAGATTCATACAACACAGATACAACATTCATACAACACAGGCACACATAATTTTTATTAATGTCATTTTGAGCTAACACTAACAAACAAACTGAGGCACCAATAAAAGATCTGTTTGCAAAGTTTAAAAAATATTAGATTTATTGGTATTAACAATAAATATAAGATATTAATATAAGATTTTATTTAATTGCTGCAACACGCGCATCAAATTGCACAAGAAGCTAAGGAATACCTACGAAATGCCATTATTTGGAATAACTTTTCTAAAGTCAAAACAGACAATTTAATAGAGTTTGACGCAATCAAATTTCTCCTTTTCTTAACCCCCTTCTTGTAACGAATCTAGATTTATGTCAAATGGGATTTACTTATTTATGCTTCAACTAACTTACTAAAAGCTGAAGTTAATGACAATGAAGGAGAGAGATGTCAACAAAAACTCATCATGCAATTTTTTCATACCTTAGTTTCTGAAGTGTCATCCTTTATAACATTAGCCACATGTCTTAAAAATTATCTTCTCGCACATACATAGTAATTGGCTGAAGATATTTTTATTGTATCACTTGCAGATCCAGACGTAAATAATGCATACAAATGCTTAATAATACAAGAACCTATCAAATATCCATACCATGGAAATATATCTTACTTTGAAATAAAGAAACCTGAGGTCAGAGATAATATATTTAAAAACACTCATTTGCAGGGAAAAACACTTGAAAACAGCTTATACTTCATATTAATAAGCAAGAGAAACCATTTTGTAGACCTCAATATCAGCATCACATTTTTCAAACTTTTTGTGTTAAATATCCATAATTGACTGCTCTGATAATTTCAATAACTGCCTTGTTCAGAACTTCTTAGCAAACACTCACATGGTATTAACAAAACATTATTGTGGTTGCCAAAGGAAATAAAAAAAATTGTTATCAACAAAACATTATGGTGGCTGAAAAAGAGAATAAAAATAATTGTTGTGTTCAAAATTTCTTAGCAAACACTCATATGTTATCAACACAACATAGTGGTTGTCAAAGATAATATGAAAAAGAGCAGGTAGGAAAATGAAAAAGAATATAATCACTTAGGATGTATTCCACGCAAGCAACTGAATTGATGCATCATAATATTTGCACTTATTGGCAAGACTACCAAAGAATATTTCGAGAAACTAATGAGTTACTTGATTGACTACAACAGCAAGCATGCATTTTAAGACAATGGATTTTGCATTATGATCTTCTTTTTTTTTATTTTTAAACTAATAATAAGAGTTTATTATTTAAGCATTTTGTACAGGATTTTCTTTTATTTTGCTAGAGTATTAACGAAATATTTATGAAATATTTTATCTGGAGTGTTAATAAAATATTTTTAAAATTATTTATATAATTATATATTATATAATATGAAAGGTTCCTAAAGTACATACTTTTTGTGTTGAATGCAATGCATTCTAGTAAAACTGCAATGAGCAGTGAACGCCTTAGAGATGCATAATAAGTTAAAAAAGGTGTAGCAGATTGAAGGACAAAAGGACAGATGTCCAGTGGAAAACAAAAACCCTCTAAGAAGATAAATATTAAATTTTAATTATAGTTAAATTAAGTAAATATAAACAGAAATAATAAACAATAATGAACAGTTGTTAGTGTAGAACATAAATGTGATGCACAAGAGTGTCAGTTGCTGAACAGAATTATTCGTTTTATAAGCAGATGCCATGTGGTTTGAGTTGTTAGCAAAATAAAAATACATTATAGATGCATTTTATCTATGAATGTCTCACAAATGGTATGGATTTGTGCCTTATGGTATTGTATGAACACAAGAAGACCCTCAACTTTCATCTGAAACTGGTATTCCAACAAAAGGTTCAACTCTGGATGTACACCATGGTATCCTTTTAGTTAAAGTACCCCTTTGTGTTATCCTAAAAGGACTAATCTCAGGGTATCCCATCAGGACAATTGCTACAGGTTTCTGTATTGACACCAAGACCACAGAACACTTGGTGGAATTCAGTTTAACTTGCATACAATTGTAAGTAGTTTTTTGACATGAGTGACAGTATCTATAGTGATTTATTTCAGTATAATTTGGGTCAGTGAGGATTGTGAACTGCTTCAGTTTCTTATAGCTGTGGGTGTATGTAATTA